TATTTTTAAACTATACAAAGAACCTATCTGGAATTTAATAGTGTGTTTATAATAACTTTCGTCAACGGCCGTCAGTCTTGTCGGCGTATTATACGCAGGGCTAATTAAAATCTGAGTTAGCAGCATGTGCTTTAACCCGCTGAACAGATAGGTGCATTTTAAACAAACAGACTCACTATAATTTTCGATATGATCCACGCTGCGATTTTCGTATCTGATATCCATTAATTTTACTGATTGACAAAAGAATAGCGCGAAACAATAAAAAAATGTCTGGAGCTTCATAGTTTTTTTTTTTTGCAAAATTCAATAACTGTTCCGTCGAAAAAAAGTCTTGTACACATTGATCGCGATAGCTTAGCGATTAGAGTGTCTACAATAAACGTTCGTGTTGTGGCGTTACTTTAAAGAAACAGTTTTTATTTGTTCAGACCACATTTCATTTTTTAATTTATTATATGAACTTTCTGTACTGCAGTGCAACGCACACAGGGTGCATCATAAAGAATGATGGGGTTTCAAACGGCTGTATAGGTTGAAAAGTATTGGACCTACAGCGCGCTGGTAGGGCTTGAATGAAAGAGGGAGTTGTCCAAGATACACTCTGTATAATATTGGATAAAATATTTGTGTACGTGTACAATTTTTGTTTTTTTTTTAATAAAATAGGGTTTTATGTTAATCAACCACAGTTAAAACCGAAATCATAGTAAAACATTTATTATTTTGGTTTAACCGGTACTTAGATGCACAAATTCTTATTCTCATAATATAGTCAGGTATTGGCTAACATTCGTTTTGATCGCATTTTGTTCTTGAATCACCGTGTATGGTGATGACTCTGGCTTATATTGTAATACCAAAGTACTTGTTTGAGTAATCGAAAATCCGATATATATATATATACAATGATACACACACATGGAAATATACAATAATTAAATAGTATTTAATTATTATGTATTATTGTGTTATTCGAAGTTGTAAAGCATTTAAGGATATGATTTTGTCGGTTATCCAATACTTTTGTATCGCCGCCCCGGTAGAACAATATTTACAATGACACAACTGAAAAATTTGGTAAAATGCCCTTCATATGAGAAATAGTACAACCTAACCTAACGGCAGATTGGACTTAAATATATCAAGTAAAGTGCGCATAGGCCCTGCAAGATGAGCTAAAATAAAATCATAAAGAAGAATAAATATCGAATAATAGAATTACATTATAATATCGTTTCTTAGCAAACATTTTTACCATACATTTTCTATGACTGGTTTGAGAATATATTGTAATACAATTTAAGGTATATCGATTTGACCATAACTTTTATAGTATTATATTGCAATATTTAATGACTTTAGTGTAAGTACCAACTGAAATGATTTATTACTCGTCAATCGCCATTAAAAGATAACGGAGTAGAGTTTTTTTTATCTGTGTACAACAAAGTAGACTAATAAAGTGTAGAGAAAACAATATTAGAATCATGATTTTATTATATTTCAACGAGGAATCGAATTTAATAATTCTTTTTTTATTTGAACAAAATCTTTGTTTGCTTTAGTAACAATTTTACTTGCACGATTTCAATTAGAGCTTTTATAAATACAATTTCCCATGTCCTTGAAATAAATTATAATTTTTTCAACTTTAAGATAACTCATTTTATAGATTTTTTTTTAGGTTCTTTTACAACTGTTGGAATAGAACTTTTTGAATAAAATTCTAGACTCTGTCGCGTCTCGGTTATTATAATACAGTGTGTAGGTATTGATAAAGTTCTAACCTTATTTGTAAAACCGCACCTACTAATGGTTAATGCTCCTGGGATACGTTTGTGTAGATAATATATTATATTTAAAGTGGAATATTAATATTTGAAGAAGAAGACTATTGACTACATATTATCTTATTTTGTTTTCAAAAACATAATATGTATAATAATTTTTCGGTCGACAGGCAAAATGTATAAGCAGATATATTTCCCGTTATATCATGTCAGCAAATCTCCCGTTTCTTTTACCTTCCATATATATAAGAAGATCCACCCTTCTTGAGTGTTTTTTTTTTGTTTTCTGTAGGGAGTGTCCTCGCTCAGTGTGGCGTGCTTAATATAGACTGACACAAAGCGTATGCGAGCAAATTGCACCGGCAGTGCCTTCCTTCTAAAGAGATAATTAAAACTTGCCAGTCACTTACTTCTGCTCGACCGCTTTGTCATCATATAAGCACACAACACAATTAAACCCTTCACCCCCACGGTTTTTCTTATTATATGTAAATATCCGCCGTCTTAAGATCATAATATGTATAACGCTTTAACGCGCGCACATAAATCGTGTCACAAGTGTTTTCGGTTTTACTCTTAAAGGTAGTACAATACTCTCCTGAGTTAAAATTGTGAGAAAATCACAGAGTGATCACACCGCGGTCGTGTGACGATTAAGATTTCACCCTAAGCAATGCGCTTGTGTGTTGAAACAATATAATCACAAGGAAAACATATTACCACCCTACTGGCTTGTGTCGCCGACATATTAATAACCATAATAAAAACATTACAAAAAAAAATATATATATATATTTAAAGAGGGCGCAGGGAAGACCCGCTTGAAATAGTACAACCAAAACGAATATTATTATTATAATATTTCAACCAGACACCCTTGTAATTATTGTCGACACCCCTTCGCCAAGTCCCCGGAGGGCATAACGCCGTCGTCGGTGTTAAAAAGTTATGATATGGTATTTGGACGTCCAACAGTATGTGATTGTATACACGGGGGTGGGGGTGAATTATCATATCCCGGGCCAATATCTGGGCATAGGGAAATGGAATCGATAATTACATTCGCGGTGCTGAGTGAACTTTAAATTGCGTTTTTATAGGCGTGGGTTAGGTTTTTGATAAAAGGCCATCACAAACAATGACTTGACGGTAACCAAAAGAAAAATCCAATGCAGTTTTATAATATGAGAAATAGTCCAACCTAACCAAACCTTACCGAACTTTATCAAACCCAACCAAACCTAACCTAACTAAACCTAACCAAACCTTTCCAAACCTAACCTAACCTAATGGCAGATTGGACTTAAATATATATTAAGTAAAGTAATGTGTATTTGTATATATGGCATTCTTTGAGGGCGAAACAGTTAGATTTATATCATATGAAGGGCTTTTTTTTTTGTATCGAAATAGTTTGAACGCGTAGCCAATTTTCATGCAGTTTTGTACTTGTAGTTTAAATTTTATACTTGGTATTTTTACCTTTAAAAAAAAAATTTAATATAAATATACTTTTCAATAATCATACATTAGAATATTGCCTATGTTTCCAATGCATTGTGTTTCAAAGTATTTTCATCATAAAGACACACACACACACACGCACCTCCTAATATGTTGACATTATAATGAAATTAATATAATTTCAAATCGTTTTTTTTATATAATTAATAATAGAAATAGAAATAATAGAGCAATCAGAGATAAAAAAAAAACAATTTATATAGATGGAGATGACTTACGGGACATGGCATAGGCTAAATGGATAGAAAAATATGCACATTCGTCAATTATTCTAGAGGAGGAGCAAAGTTTTAAAAACATACTTTATCTAAGTTCTTGTAAATACCACTGTCAAGCGATAATGAAGGTTTTCTAATCATCTCACACGTTGAACGTTTGTCAATTATAGTTACCTTCCATTAAACCGCTTAAACTTGATAATAATTTAAATTATTCACTATAATAAGTAGGTAGGATGGTTAAAACGCTAAAGCATTACCGACCTACTATTTGGAAAAGTCCAACAAAAATGTAAACAATGTAATTTGTAGTGTCCAAAATTGACAAACATATTCTCTGAAGATTTTATTACAATTTTGTGCTGTATTCAAAATTGTTTAATATAATAGGCATTCAACTTGAAAACAAAATATAATATTATTATTTTTCAGCAGCATAGTGCATTGTACAATATACTTGAAAACTCTATAGAAAAACCATATAAAACACAATATTGGTAAAAATAGTATTAAAAAAAAAAAAAACAATACTGCTGTTTTGATAAGAAGTGAACTTGTCAAACTTCTGACATGAAATTAAGCACTTTCCTGCGGATGACATTTAATTTTGTATGACTAACTTAGAAGTCTCCTAAATTGGCCGCTGTATACAAACACGTTGTTTAGTAAGTTTTTGACCTTTGACGAATCAAAACATTGGTGCAAATATGATATAAAATATTATACTTAGGTACATCATTTTTATTACACCTATACATTTTTTCGTATTACGATTTAAAAAATTGTACTTAATTTGAAAGAATATTACAATTTATTATATAATGAATAATTACATTTTTCCGGTTTTCCCCAGTCACAAAATTAGAGTATTCATCAAGTATTAACAGCTAATGTATTCAAAAGTTTATAGACATCATATTTAGGTTGTGGATTAAATGATAATTTGAAAAGATACTATTATTTTTAAACTACATAGTCAAAATATATTTATTAATATTTGGATTTCAACTTAATATTGTTGTTGGAGTTATACATATACCTATACTCCAATAACCGTTAAACCTAATATTATTATAGTTCGTAGATATGTTTTTGTCTTATTGTAGAGAAACAACCCTTACAATTATTTTAGAACATTATTCAGATACTATTTTTTTATAGTATCGCTCAAAAAAACGTTTAAAACTAATATTTCAAACTTATTGGTTTTGTTTTCAAATATATCCTAAACATAATATTCATCACTATAAATTGAATGTTTAAAAAAAAATTAAAGTAATATTAACAATATGCTGCACACTCATATGGTGTTATTTTATTAGGGAAGTTTGATAAAATATATATTTAACTTTACCTAACCTAACTGACTAAACCTAACCTCGCCTAATCTAACCTAACTGACTAAACCGAAAAATAAAACAGTAAGATAATAATCAAAAAAATAAATAATTATAGCAATTATTACCTTTATAATACACCTGTCGGACTAGTCCAAAAACGACCACCTTCACACGTTATTTTTTTCAAAAATAATTTTTTAATTTAAGTATAAATCACCAAAAAAAACAAAAAAATATTAATAAATAAAAAATTAAAAAAAAGTTGTATTATTCAAACGAAACACAGACGTCGCGATCCGGCAGCGTGCCGACGGTAACGACGGACCGACAGTTATGGCACCGCGGTGATGGCACGGCGAAGAAGCCGGTACGCGCCGAACTGCACACACACCGTAGAGGTATGGGCCACCGCGTCCACGTCTCGCCCGTAGCAGCGCGTCACGTCGCCGCCGCCACAGTTTCGTCCACCCCCGAAGAGCGCCGTCGCGCGCCGTCACGACTACTGCCAACGTTATTTCTCTATCTTTTTTTTTTTCCAGTTTACCCCTCGGCCCTCCACCTCCAACCCTCCAACACTGACACTGTATGGTTCCTCCATTACACACACACACACACACACAGACGCGCGTGATGTTACACTTTTCCACTCTCCCTCGCCCCTCCCGCTGCACCGTACTCCCTCCCTCCTCCCTCCACTCCAGCCGGTACGCTACGGCGAGTAAATATAAACGCGGCGTTTCGTTCAGGCAAATCGGTCGCACCGTCTCTCCCGAACGACGGTGTACACGGCCGGTCTGTGGTATACTTTACCACACTTACTTTTTATTTTCGACCGACTTCGAAAATAGATATAAATAACGACTCCAGAAAAAAAAAACAAACCGCAAGCCAAATCTTGCACGCCCAAACGCGACCAGCAACGGACGTCGAAAAATCAGTGCCGTCTGTCTTTACCCTAAGGGGGCGCGTGGGACACGAGCCCAGGGCCCTGGCCTGATAGGGGCCCCCAAACGACCCGGTATTTCAATGAGTGGCGTAGCTAATGTGGGCGTAGGGGGAGAGGCAACTGTCCCTGGGCGCATTTTATTTTAGGGCGTTTTTTGTACGGTTTACTGTACACGTTAACTAATATAGGGCGCAAAAAAAATGTCTTGCTCCTGTGGGCGCTTTAGTCTCTAGTTACGCCACTGATTTCAATCTAAGACTACGTACCTACTTATCATTTGTACATTAAAGAAGTTTTAAAGATTCGTATATTAGTATATTAATCAAAGGAAAAATATAAACAAAATAATATAATATACTATTATTGTACAAGATGATTTTTTTATCGTGGCCCACTCAATATCTCACTGGAGGGTTTAATTAATAGTTAAAAATGTTCTTATGTTCTTACCCCCCCCCCCCAAATTAGTTTTTTTTATGATGGCAACTATTGAAACTTAAATGGTAACGCAATAATTTCATTGACTTTTTAAATTGAGAATAATGTACTAAACATTTTGACTGGTCGACAACCAGTTTTGGATAACTATTTTTAAAGTTTCAAGTTTAGGGCAGGAGTATAGTATTATGTTTATCTGCAGTGAACGTTATTAGTAAAATATTATTAATTAAAAAAGTTAATAAAACATATACGTTACCATATAAGTTTCAAAAGTTGCTATCAAAAATATTAATTTGGGATGTGGTAGGAACATAAAAATGTGTGGAAAATTGAGATCACGTTACAAAAAAAAAAAACTCTATGGAAAAAAACTTCAATTGTTAAACCCAGTGTGAGATATTGAGTGGCTCACGATATGTGAATCACTCTGTATTGGGTATACCTATGGGCTGTAGTTTGCTCTAGTCTACATACTCTATCTCTAAGCCGATATTCCGTAAAGTAACTGTACAATTTATTACAATATATTACTATTATGTTGTGCGTCTGTGCCGATCAGGTTAGATGAACGTTAAAAAAAAAATTAAGTTTTTTTTTCAAAATTTTTCTATAGCGTGAGTATGCGGATAAAAGGAGTATAATGTATATATGTATATATGTAGAGTTGTATAGATAAAAATTAAAAAAGTCTAATATGGAGTATAATATATTGTTAAGATACAAGTAACTGTGTACAACACAGACTGACTGGTTGTATACACGCTTTCAGCAGCACTGGACCGCACCGGTAAATAACTATTTAGAAAAAAAAACCTTCAGATAAACAGTTCACGTTTACCTACCGGTTGGAGGAGGTTTTACACCCGTCGAGTTTAGTATATTATAGTAATATATAATTTAGTGTACATGTATATAATCACGGTATAGACAATTTAATTACACGGTTACCGTGCAATAGATAGATACACCCAAAAAAAAAAAAAAACAATTACCCACCAGTAATAATAATAATATACGACATGTTTATAATATTTTCCTTTACAGAAGAATATTACAATGGAATTTTACAAAATTAAACATTATTATCCCATAAATTTCCATTAAAAAAAAAAAAAAAAATTATAGCCCGAACATACCAACTACATATTATTAGGTTTGTGAAATATATTATATTAGTTACCAGTTACCAGTTACCACTTACCAGTTAACTGAGCTAAAAGCGAATCATACAAAATGGGGTAGTAGTCGGTAAACAGAGTTGGACATAATTCGAAAAAACGCTGTAAGTTATTTTATTTTATTTTCGATTCTATTTTATTCTTTAAGCACTCTATTTGTGCAACGTTGTGAATTTTAATGGAATAAAAAAACTCTGGTCAAGTGATTCGACAAGTTTCATCAAACTTGGTGTGTATCTACCCACATAATGTTAATGGAAAACGGACGAGGACGGTTGAACTTTAATATGTCTTTTTTCAGTTGTAAAAGTTTTAAACAAAAATCAATCGGTTTAACGATCAGTTCGGAGGAGACATACACGGTACACGTCTGTATGAATAATTGAATAGGTACACTAATGCGACTTATTCTACTTGTAAAGTGGAAAATACAGATGGCCAATCAGAAATGTTATTAACAACATTGATGATTTTTGCTGAAAAAAACCCAACCCAACTTGGTCAAGTGTTTAGCTCTAATGAAACGCCATAATATTTTGAAAAATAGCGTGTAACTTGTGTGGAATATTCTTTAGACGTACAAAAGATATCAATATGTTTAATTTGAATAAAACGTTTTTAAAGAGAACTATTATGAATTCAGTACCTACTTACATAAAATGTGTTAAGTGTTAACCTATAAATTGATAAGTGATAACTATGATATCACAACACTAATTTTCTCTTGAAATTGCAAACATTTCTTTTGCTTTCTCTTTATAAAAATACTTTGACTTGAGTTTTTTTTAGAAAACTGTTCAAGTTATAACTCTCAGTCCAGATGTATACTCTTCAGATCAATTTTCCGACCTTAAGCCCTAAAACTTCACCTAAACAGCGAAATAAAGATTACTCGAGATATTAATATTGTTGTTTAGCCATATTTTATATTGTACCGACTTGGGCTTGATAGGTGCTCTGCTTGTAATAATAATCATAATTCATGCAATACATAAATAACAACACACTAGCAATGTTGTGCATATTGTAATATCTTGAAGTGCCCTACTAAATCATCCCAGTCCCTTATGCATTGCATATCAATGCTTTCCCCTATTTTGTGTGCATGCCAAATGATTGTAAATTCAGACCAAATTAAGCGTTGCAGGCTTTTTAAGAAATTAGAAGTACTTTTATACTGTAGAAGGTTATCATGGGACTATTTCAGTCGGGACAGCCAAGTGGGGCAATATGTGTATACAAATAGGGTGAATAACAATTATTTTTAGTCATTTATGTAATTTTATGATTCGTTAAAACGATTAATAATAATTTTTAACCATGTTACATACTGTAAATTACCACTTATATTCATAAAAAAAACATACACCTTTTTTGGATCATGTTGGAATCAACTTGGCTTATAAATAAACATGACAAAACATATAAAAACTGGTGTAAAAAAAAAGGTATACCTAATGGTTTTTGTAAAAACACACAAATTTCGGTGTATACTTGCCTATCACTTTACTCTTTGAAAGTAAATAGGTGATGATCTATAAATTGTTTTAAAATATTTTGGCGTAGTGTTGTTAATTAAGTTCAAAAAAAAAAAAAAATACCTTAAAAAAGCTTTTTGTACATGTTTTTTTTTGTGTATCATTATCAAATTGTAAACAAAAAACAATATCTAATATATAAATAATGCAATTATTGAAAATTGCACGTAAGGTCAAATAATCAAATAATTGCACGTTCAAAAAAAAAATGAGATAATATTTTATTTATTGGAATTTGGAAAACGAGTATACAGTCAGTTATAATAATTTATTTAATACATTACATTTAAGATCAAATTATAATAATATACCTACAAGCGGGTATTGGAAAAAGTATAAATTAAGTTTACTATACTTAATTATAAATGGGTTATCAAAAGACGATAGTAGTTCAAATAAATAAATCAATAATGGTACGTTACTATAAAATATATTAGTGGACTAGTAGTTTCATTAAAATAACTATAATTACGTCTTATCACATAATAATTAAACGGTAAAATAATTTACGTACGATTAAAAACCCGTAGCGTCGTAATTTTGCAATAAGGGATTGTGATATATAAAAAAAAAAACAGTGGTACAAGTCAATTATTAAAAAAAAAAATTTAAAAAAAAAATGGTATTACAAATTAAACAAGAGCGGTAAAATAAAATAAATACGTGAAATTTGTCAAATAAATAATTTGTTAAATTAAAATACATAGATTTATAAACGTGAGCTATTAGAGTTGTATCGTAAATAATAATTAATACTTTAACGTAATTAAAAAAAAAAAAGGTAGGTATAAAAATAGTCTAATGCCACGACGATCAACTCAATAGATCGTTGATGTCAGACAGCGAAAGTTGTTTGACTTGCTGTTGGTTGTCTTCTTGTTTCGTCCACAAGTCATCCCAATTATGCGACTGACTTTGAAGAGACATCGGTTTACTTTGAGAACCACCCAAAGGCTTGAGTTGCGACAAAGAAGGAGAAGAAGAAGGTTTGGTCTGATTCGTCCAACTTATTTGACTCAAATTCGAATCGATCAGCGTCGACGTTAAGTCTTTGGGCGAAGGAACCGTTTTACTAGTTTTTTCCGCGCTAGGACTAGGGTTGAGTTGGTGGTCCATCATTTGAAACACATCATGAGACCTAACTGGCCTACAAAAAAAAAAAAAAAAAACGTAAATCAATTCCAAATACCGAACGGCAAACCTGTGTAACGTTTTACTTTATTTTAATGGCATTTTGCGTTGAAATGTTTGTCGAAAGTCCAAAACCACCCGACTGTTGTGCGGACGAAGATTCGACAAACGTATCGAATTGAAAGTCACCGCCGTTTTGATTTGCGTTCTCCAAATTTCCATTATTGGAAATCGTCCTGGAACACAAAACCGCGAAAGATTATTATCGTACCGCCGTAACGGCGGCCAAGTTTAAAAGTAACCGAAATTGTTTACCTATTTTGATCGTGCAATTGTTGTAACTTCGCTCGATGGTCTGTTTCGACGTTGTTCACCATCTCTTTTACAATCAATATTAGCGTATTAAACTGATTCAGTGTCAAAGTATTTTCAATACACATCGGTATCAGAAACGGTAGTATACTCAAAGCCATCGTATCTTTCGTAACGTTCATTTTTTTATTCGAAAGAATAATCCTATATACACCTAGAACAAAAAAACCAATAACGTCAATTGAAGTGTTATACTGTACGTCATAAAACATTGTATACAGTATAAGTATACTGAATAAAATATTTGTTTCGAAATTAATAACTAGGTAGGCATTTTGTCTCGTTGTTAAAAGTGGGTCGACTAGGTATAGTGGCTGTTGTACCGCCAGTTAAGATTTTACAAAAAGTGCTAATCAAACCTAGGTGTTCTTTATTTAAATAAATAATAACAAGTGTATTTGTATTTGAAATACCTTTGAAATGATTATTTTTAATAATAATAAATTAAAGTCAAGAATATTTAATAATATTTCCAACAACCTTTTATGTTAAATAATTGTTTAAATACAAATTTATTTGGTTCTGTTATAAAAACTTTCATTTGAATTATTATTAATAATATTAATTATATATATATACATATATATTTATTTATTTTAGTTGTATAGAAATCGATATAATTAATTTCTTGTCTTCTTATACTCAATTATTCGATTACCTAATATTCCCATTATCACAGCAGGATCTTTTGACGGTATTTGCGGTAAAAACGGAATAATGTCGTCCAACACCAGCCAGCTGTCTAAGTATTCGATTAGTTTTCCCACACACACCAAACATTTCACACGTACCTAAAAACAAAAATAGTTAAGTAAACACCTCTATTTATTTTTTTTATTAAGTACAATACAACAAAAATATCAAAGCTGAACCAACTCACGGAAAGATCGGATGTCGACAAACAAAGTCTTTTGATTCTCGGTAACAGAGCGTTTTTCATCGCGGGACCTTCGACGAGGGCGGCCAAAGACGGTACAACTGATAGACAAGTTTCTTGAACCGGCTTTGAGTCCAACTCGAGAGTTTTGTACAACATGGGTAGAATGTCGGATTTAATGTCTTCCGACGGTGCCAATTTCAAGAGGAGCTCCATTTTTTGAAGGAAAATAAAAGGAACCTAAGTATCGAACATGGACGACAGAAAATTAATAATATTAGCAACCTTATTGTAGTCGACGTAGTACATTTTTGGGTTCCTACCTGGACTGGTTCGTGTACTTTCATAATGGGTTTCAGACACGGTAAAACGTGATTGACAAACTCGTGTTTTGAACAATTTTCGCAAACGTAAAATATATTTGGTAAAACAAATGGAATCATTACGGGATTCACACACTCTTTTACCAGGCACGGAAGAATTCTGAAAAAATGGACACACAAATCACAATACTCATTTTCAATCCAGACACTTGATAAAAAAATAATTTTTACCGATTCAAACAGATCCTGTGAGGCATTTTTTCCATTATCTGAGGCAGTCCTTTGTAGAATTGAGATTTTTGCAGGTTGTCCCATTGAAAAAGCGAATCCAAATAACTTAGCGTTTTTACACCGACGTCGTTGAAAAATTCAATCTATAAATTACAATAAACCTTATTACACATTCGTACATTTTTTTAAAATAAAGCGCTATACTTTTAAAAAATCGTGTTCATCGAGTCTTTGTTCGTGATGAAAATTCAGTAGATTCTTTAACGGTTCTCTAAGTCCATCGGCAACAGATGTCAGTATTGGCGTACTGCTTTTTAACTGAAATTAAACAAACGAGTAAAAAAATAAGTCAATACAAAACCGATTTCATTACTCACTTCGTTTATGTTACGTTTATACGTAGACCAGTCGTGATTGGCCAGTAAAGGTGCATTGCCCTTATTGTATATCGCGTAAATCAACATTCCCAAAGAAAACATATCGTTGGCTTTCTCTTGACTACGACCACAACTTGATTCGGGTGCCAAATAATCGAGATTTGGTTGCGCCCAAGGATGCACGTCTGTTTTATACTCCCAATTCGACCACATTGGCTGTAAAACAAAAAAAAATTGTTTAATATAACTTATGTATTGTAACACGATATTTTCTATTCTCACTGTTGGGTCGGCAGGATTAATACAGTGCAGACAAAAATCGAAACCGAAAATTTTCCAAGCGCCTTGTTCGTTGATAATAACGTTTTCCGGACACAGATTGTGATGAAGAAGTTTGGCATCGTTGTGTAAAAAAACCAGACCTTGACCGAGCTGCATTAACCCGTACTTGATATCGATATCGTACAGCTTATAGTCTTGTAAATCTTTGGACGCCGGTTGCGGAGTATTGTCCATTTTGCCAAGAGCATTAGCCAAACTACAGAAAACTGGTTCGGTCGCAAACGCCAAACTCTCTCTAAAATGGAAAACGATTAAACGAGAATCGGCAGTGAAATCCATAATATCGCACATACTAACCTCGACTCTTCCAGTGTGTGTTGAACGGTCAACACCTGAGGATGCCTGAGCCTGGTCAATTGAGCAACACCTTTTTTCAACACATCTATTATATGGTCTCTTTCACTTTTCGACCACTTGTCCAACTGTCGTTTTTCTAATAAAAATATGGACGCCGGTTGTTGCGTCGACTTTTTATATCCGCTGTAGATTTTCCACGACAGCCCTAATTGGGGGGGATAACACGAAAATGTTGACAATTTATTATCATAAAACAATATGTGTACATACCGACACCGGCACTGGCTATGTGTTTGGTCGCTTCGTATTCTCTGGTGACCGGATTGCCGGGAAGCACCGTCGAAAGCTGAGACATGGTATTGGTGACCGTCGAACGGAATTTGTTCAGCACGTCCATATTTTGGGCAAATTTAAAATTACTAAATTATAGGTTTATATATATATATATATATATATAAATATTATAGTGACTAATACGAATTGATGTTTTTTATTGATTAAAAAAATTGCATGTTTAAACATTGACTACTTATTAAATGTATAATCTACTACGCTATATTATTATAATATAATATATTACATTATTGCATTTGATTAATCACTATTTAGTATTTACAGTAATTACTAATTGGCAATATACAAAACCACAAACCAAGATTATCATGTTATTAATTAATTAGTATATGAAACAAATAGGACTTGTGATAATAAGGATATATTGTGATAACGATTAATGTAGTATCAGCAGCGCCATTGCAACACAACATTATTGTGTTATAAGTGATAACAAATAAGTATTATTATTAAATTTATAATAGCTATGTTACATATTGAGAAATATGACAGTCTGACGTCAAAAATAAACGTTACATTATTGCCAGTAGTTAATTTTAATCTCTATCCATGTTGAAACAAAGTGACATACTGATAGAGAAAATTTGCAGCCATTCGAGGTGACGTTTTTTGAGTTTTCATTCAATCAAATGGAAACCTAGTACTCGAGATAGACAATATTTGTTATGGATAATAATTATTTAATATAATATTGTGTAATATGATTCAAATAGATATATATATATATATATTTTTTGTCATATGTTCTTTGTAAAGGAGTTCAGTCTGTTCATTCATCATAAAGTTGATAACAGTTGTCCTCCCCGCAAGACTTTTCAGAGAAACCTTTTTTAAGGTAAAGAACAAGTATTAGCTACCAAAAAATGTAAAAGTAATAATGTAATATTTAATATATTGCTATACTATGATAAATATATATATGAGCACATAGAGCATACCCAGCTTGGATGGACAGAAAAATCAAGTTGGTTATTGAAATGACAGAGTAGAAAACAATTACTTAAATACTAAAAACGGATTAGGTGATGTCATTTAACTTTTAACCAGTACAAAATAAGTCAATAAACTATGCTATTAATTTTTTAGAATCCTCGAAATAAAGATTTATATTTAAGGAGTAATGCCTAGGCAATTGATGTATATAAATATATTACGATTGCATTAGCCGTTAGCCGAAGGGAATGATGATGATGATGAGTGAGCATTATCATTATTTGTATTACAACTATAAAAAAAATGCGTCGTATAAAATATGTCTGTTAAACAAGTTCAATAAATCGGTTTTTCTCTTTCCTCGATATATTGTTTCTTAAATCCTCACCATACTTTTAGTTTTGAAAAATGTTTTGGGAATTTCACTCAATTAATAATGAACAAATAATAGGACTATTTTTTTTTGTTTTGGTCAAGGTGCATGTTTAACCTGACCGTTTATAATTTATTCAAAAATTAAACTACACACTTGATTGTGTGTGCATAATATGCGATAACGAGACTATTTTACGGCATTTATCGTCCTTCCTCGAGTGTTTGGATACAAAGTACCTATAAATTATTTTTTCTAACAACAAAACATGTATTATTAGGTACATGACTTGTAATTATAATAATATAGCTACTATAGATAACGGCTGTAGATTAAAAAAATAATCTTAGAATAAATTTATCATAGACACTAGATGTCGATTTAATTGTAATAGATATTATGTTAACTGTGTTGTACATATATATAAATGAATAAAATAAATTAATAGGAATAGCTAGGCACAGGAATTGTCTTATTATATTGGTCGACATGAAAATTAGTTGTGTACGCAGAAATCAGTCATACTGGTGTGAATGTGATGGGTCCTATTGTTTTAGAAAATACACCTACTTTTAATTTTGAATGAAAGACTTGAAATTAAAATTGATATCAATACCAATACTGAACCATATTAAAACATTTTAATTTTTAACTAGGTAATCTAATCTACTTACATACATTGTAAAACTAGCTAAAAATCTTTAAAAGTCAATGTATTGTTGGAAAAACATATCTTTATCGCAATGTTCTAATGATTTTAGAGCTGTACCTACCAGGAATATAATTTTTTTTCTTTATTCCATTTATATTCTTTCCACCAGATCATTTCCCCTTGAAACTTTCCATTGAAAGCTTCTCTCTTCTACATTTTTAATCTCTGAATACTGTCTGTGATGCTGTATTGATATTGTTCGTGGCTTTTTTACAGTAATCTCTAATTTATACATTTTTTCCCCCCACAGCTTTGAAGTACAAATCTCTTCAAACTCTGTTTTGCCGTCTAATCTAATTTTGTTTAAAATTTCAATAGCAATATTTATGCAGTTACCTACAGCAACTGTTTAATTTTGGTTCTATTTCAGAATTTATATCATATTACCGTCATTCTCGCCTTTAAAGTTTATACTGTATGTAAAAAAAAAAAAAAAAAATGCTGGTTTAGTTTGTAGGCGTTGTTTTTTAATTTATTCATTTTGGATTTTGACAAACATAATAATAATGCATCATTCACTACTTAAACCCTATATGAGATATTGAGTGTACACTCTGTATAGCGCATTCTTGTTTCAAGAACTATATTATAATATATGGTAGTATTTAATCGGTGACTTTGAAATAGGCTAAAACATAAATAAAAAAAATTGAAATAAATGAAATATAATAATCACCCAGTCATAAATAATTATGATTGTAACGATAATTGAACCGGACGTAAGTACAAAGGTAGACAGAACACAGTACTAACATTACTGATTACATATTATTATTCTACTTTAGTCTTTTTACTATTGGGTACTTGTTTCTATTATATAATGAAAACCGAAAGATCTTTACCCTTTGCACCACGAGATAATGATGTCTAATTTATTCGTGGCATAGTTTAATAATAATATTGTGGACTTTTAATAGTATTTTTTATAATTAATAACATTGAAATTCGACCAATTTCGAATGGCGGTAACGCTTTGGTTACAGCGGTAACAACTGTGGTCAGGTCAAACTGTTATCTGATAAGGCGATTCGTTAAAAATCGTCCGGAGCTGTTCAACCGTTGTTTGTATTGTTGTGGATTTTATGAATTTTCATTTATGATTTTATGTTTATGATTCAACAAGTTAAAACGTTTCCGACATGCCTTGTAAATAAAACAACGATTTTTAGCTGTTGTACGACGGAAATTCAGTCGGAATACTTAATTGTTGGTTTTACATGTAATATAACAGTCTAGATAATCTGGTGTTGGGTACTCGAAATCCATCAAAACTACACTATAGAATTATTAACGTAAGTAATCGGAAATTATACTCATATATTTTGTTCATACTAATATTTTTTTATACTACATAAATTAAAATAGTTTTTTGAAACAACAAAATTTTAGGATATCAGTCCTAATGTTCTTGCTTTGCTTAAAAATTCTGCTGTTGAAACGTAACATCCAACAAATACTCGTTTTCCTGTAAACGCCGTTCTACCGTGCAATATTCTCCAGTTATTGTAAATGACCACGGTTCCAGGTTGTAATGCGTATTCCCAGTATAACTCTTCACGCTTGAGAATTTCCACAAAATGTGCATAACTCGCGTAAAATTCTGTTATTCGTGATTGAGGTTGACAAGTGCGATCGTATATATTAAATCTAGAATTTCCAAAAAAATATATAGCCAAAGTATTTAGATTGAAAAAAAAAACTTATTTTTGAGTCTACCATACCGCTTAGTATTAGCTTAAGTATTGTTTGGATTAAGCTGTATGTTTCTAAGTTTTTTACTATTATAGATTATATTAATTAAAATGCTAACCTGATTTGGTTGATATCATTTGTCGTCGAATTAATTTTGATAACAGGTTCTGACCACTTGTAGTGAGAATCCAGGTTCACATATTCAGTTTCTACATCGATTTCTGTTAAGCATTTAAAGTGTAAATGATTTTCTTGTTTTAATATTTCTGCAACTTTGAATCCGTCGACTGCCGTACTTAGACCGCCAGTACCGTTATTGTCTCTTTCCAACATGTGAAACACTTGGAGGCTGTAATATTTTGTTAAAATATAAGTAAAATCGACGAACAGTACACGTTTGGTGTTTTTTAAGCGAAACAAAACAATTACCCTGCGCCATCGTTCAAATATGTATTATCGTTGTGTGCTACCAACGATCCATTTGAGTATGCCGGATCTTTGTGATATTTTTCATTTGGACCAACAATCCACATTGGTCCAAACATCAAGTCGTAAGGTTTTGCTATGTGCCTTATTACTTTTTCTGTAGCTTCCAATGTTGGTTCTACCTTTAAAATAAAAAACCAATAGGTCTAAGATTAAACGTTATTTATTCGGCGGTTTGAAATTAAGATAAAAGGGTTTTTTTTTTTTTTTAAATTCGCCGTGCACAATTTTGTCGGTAATTATTTTGATAAAATATTCAGTTAGTTACAAATAGTTATATTAATAATTAGTGAAAGAACTGAAAACTTTATCTAAATTGGAAAACGTTTCTATACCAATTATTTAGCGGCGTACATTATCTCGTTTGATTGTACCTAATAATTATCTGCTCAGGCGAATGTTCTTTTATCTGGTGCTGGTGTTTAATTAATAAGTAATAAATAAAACACTATCGGTATTAACAGCTATTAACATCTTTACAGCTTTGGTTATATGTATATTACCTAAGTATATAAAAAAAGTATATACACAGTGTTTACTTACATTTGTTATAACACCTATGCCGTACTTGAGTATAGATCTCACCAATTCTCGTTGGCCTTCTGTTGTAATCAAACTGTTTGCGTCTACTCTTGCCGGTAGGCTTTCGAGTTCTTTGCCGACACAAGTGTACGGCTCGAGTTTGACGCCGTTCGATGTCCACGTGTCGAAAACCCATTTAACGTCATAAGTGGACGCATGACCATTCGACCCTAAACGAAAACAAAAATATTAATTTAAACTAAAATCAATATTATAAAAAAAAACTTGCATTCAACGTGTAGACTGTCGTTTTCTTGTTCGTATTTGTTGACTTTTATATTTACTGCTTCGAGGAATTGTTGAATAGACGTAATGCGACTTTTGCTCGTAGCGTCATAACATTGTTCACACCTGTAAGTTTAAATAATACCCGTTTACTTTGAACAATTCTTTTCCAATACGTTACAACTAACAACATATACACGCTTACTCCGACAAATGATAATTAACTTACCTACAACTTTCGTACAACCATGTTGTATTTATGGAAATTGATTTTCCTTCAAATTCCAAACTGATTGCCATGTTTACGGTCGATTGATTTCAATTCTAGTATACGATAAAAAACAAAATTCAATAAACAATTTTAGTATAAAATTGGTTTGTCCGATGAATAATTTTTATTGATGATACGCTAAATTTTTTTTTTTTACTTACTCGTAAAATATAAACTACAGTTGAGAAAACTGAAAAAAAAAAAATAGTTGAATTTTCAAGGCCTGTAAATTATAAAAGTGTTTCTGCAATACGAAACTGTCTGCATTTTATTTCTCGTTCTATCTTATATACCTTTTTTTATCTTGAATAAATAAATAAATAAATAAATAAATAAATGAAAACTAATCAATACGGACTAACGGACCATAAGGAATGTGTGTGTAATGGTAATTTAGTTTATCACCTAAAAATTATCTGCTTCAAAAAACTATCTACAAAAGTAACAGTAATTATATCAAACCTATGGGTTTATTTTTTGTAACGTTTGTATTATATATTATAATATATTGATTATTGACCTTTAAAAGAAATAGATACAACACAATTACAGTTAGATTGGGAAAATATGTGATTAAAACACAAACTTATCAATTTATAATTAATCAAAATAATTAATTTTACTGATTAACCAAACTTTACGGCACCGAAGACGACAACATAGTTGTCAAAATACGTATATTTGCTTTAGTTAAGTATATCATTTTTGTGAATTGGGTTTTAATAAAAAAAAATTAGAATAATTTTCAACTTTGTATAAAAGATTATGTTATTGAATTAAATAAAAACTGTTTTACACTTTGCATCACTTACCAACGACAATACATTATCGATGCACATATTTTCAGAATAAAACCACTCCAAGAGCGACAAGTTTGATAATGGCTGCGTTTCGTAGAAGTACTAAACGATGTGCAACCAACAACGAGTCGAGTACAAACAACAACGCTCGCAAACGTAAAAAAGAAGATCCCGAGGGTAAATAATCGCAAAAATTAATTTTACATATATATAATGCAAATTCATACTTATTATACGTATAAAGAATTAGCGGTGCAAAAATATCAAGACGACAGCGATTTTGACGAAGCGTTTAAAAATCTCTTACAACCAATAGAGTTGATCGCCAAGACGAACCATTACGAGTACAACCTAATCAAGGTAAAAAAATATAATAGTTTAGACGATATTTTGTTGTTGTTATTATTTTTTTCCCCCCCCTATTAGGAATTGGATTCGTATTTATACCATTTAAGAGGGTTTCGGGAAGGCGACTCTGTTGACTTTGTCGAAGCCGCGCTCATGTTTCAAAACATAATACTGATTTATCAAAAACGAGTCGACCACTTGGTCGATTTCATGATGAAATTAGTCAGGAAATTTCGAGCCTAGTAAGTTTTTTTTAAATATATATATATATATATATAATGCATATATTTTATATACTTTGTGTATATTTGTACAGTCGAGTGCACCAGAAAGATGGAGAAAACGAAGGAGGAGAGGACGATGTAGAAAACGTGGAGGGTAACAAGAGAAAGAAAAAAGAAAAAAAAGTCAAGTATTATCCCACGTTTGAACCGATCAACGGACAAATATTTGATGAGTCGAAATGTACGTGTAAAAAAAATAATAAAAAATCCTTTCGATTTGATTAAAAAATAGTGTATCGTTTATAATATTAATTGGTCGATTGTCTTTGTTTGTTACTCTAGTGAAAAAATTCGACTGTAAACTTATAAATCTAACGAAATTGCCGCCCGTACCTAAGATAGTGCTCAACGCCAACATAAAGGTCGACAACAAGTATAATCAAATACTACCGTATATATTTATTGGAAACGGCGAAAACATTGGAAAAAAATACGATTTTATGTAAGCGATAAAAATAAGTATAAAAAAAAAGTTGTATACGATCCTTTTTTTTTTTATCCACAGGGTAAATTATTGCCTGAACCGAACTTACGCGGTGAACGAAGAATTTGACTGTCCGACTAACGACGAACTGAAAAACAACCCTCCGCCCGAATTTCAAAAGAATATTCACCCGGTAATTAGTGTTGTTGTAATTAATGTGAAATTAAAAAATGTATAATAAATACAATAATTTTATTACATTTTTTTTTTTTTTTGGTCTATTTCAGTTACCGAGTTTAAACGACGTCGAGATAAACGCTGACCCCGACGACTCGCATATAATGCCCGAACCTGTTGTTTTCGACCAAACTGTTACCGACGAAATATGTGTGGCCAACGCATTGGCAATGAAGTATGCGTAATCAATAAAAAAAAAAATTAGACAATTCAAATTAATTGTGTATTGTATTGTTTTCCTTACAGCCCTGCAAACGTGTTGAACGTCAGTCAAATACCCGAAACCAATAAGAGCATAGACGATTGTTGGCTTGCAGTTACCGACGCCAAATCGGACATGTACAGTACGGATAAAAATGGAAATCTCAAAGTGAAATCCAAAAAAATGGTACGTGTGTTAAAAAAATTATACAATTTTCGTTAGTAAGTCGGACTACATTTTTCGTTAATAAAATTCATCGTAGCGATTTTAGTGAAACGTACTTGTTGTGTTTAGGACAACAACGACGGCATATACTTACCGACTTATGTGATTTCTGAATTATTTTTGGAAATTTTCAAATTAAAAACTGGCCTAGGAGTCGATCCTGCGTTCAGAGAATTAGTTTCAAAAGCACAAAGCATACAGAGATCGGACATTGCCAAAAAGAGACCGAAAAATACTAAAGGTACGCATGAATTGAATTTTTTTTTTATTAATAAAAATAATATACCAATAATGGTAATAAAATACCAATTTAATTCTAATGATCAATAAAGATCTTTTACAGTAGTATTAGTTCTTCTAACAGTCTGTTAACAATTAAATGCAATTTTTTTTTTGTTTACAGATGAAGATAAAATATATAACGAAGGTAAATAAACTTAGGCCAAAATTCTGCTTCGTCATGACTACATTTGTGTCGCACGGTTATGGATAATGTTTTAGACTAATATGTTATTTTTCGACTCGTTACGAGTTTTGTTCATTACTTATGCAATGTTATATTTGTCATTTCAGATCACAATGAAGATTTATACGACAATTTATTGAACGGTGATAAAATTTGTGTTTTTATTTTTTTAATAAGATAATTATTTCTTACTTGACATTTGTGTTTTTTAGGCGGTTTCGAAGGTTTCGACGACATAGTCGACAACGAAAACAACGGGGAACCAGACTTACAAGAACCCGACGTAGCGGTCGAAGATTTCCAGACGTACAAAAAAAACATTGAAGACATGAAAAAACACGAGCAAAATCAAATTGAACATGTATGAAGAAAAAAAATTGATTTAATGTGACAAGAATGGAAAACACAATGTATCATATATGCTAATCTTGTGTGAAACGGCTTTTGATTGTTTAGATGAACGAACAACTGGAAATGCGAAAGCGCGTGCAAGCTTGGCACGATAATCTGCGACCGATTTTGGAAGACGAAGAGAGGAGGACCGCGTTCGACATACACGAATACGGAACACGAATACTCGACTGTTTCGAAGAAAAAGGAGTGAAGAAATCGTTTGAGCAACTAGTTTCCGGACAGATGCAGGGCGAAGTGGCTAGATATTTTTTATCTTCTTTAATGCTGGTAAATTATATATATATATATACATGTGTACTTAACTAATAATGTTTGTTTTTAATTTAAATATTTAAATTCCGCAGGCCAATACGTATAACTTGAGCATAACGAAACCCACTGACGATCCTTTGACCGTTGGCTTGATGGACATAGAACTACTTAAAAAAGAAAGACATCACGAAGAACTCCAAGTCAATATTGGAAACCAAGTAAATCAATGAGCGACAAACCGAACTAGTGTTTGGTCGAATTGTTTGTGTACACCGCCGGTTATTGTAAACATTTTTTTTTTTTTTTTACATATGTATTATATTTATTAATATTTACACATCAAGAATACCGATCTTTCAGATAATTATTGTCAGAAATAGTCATATAATTATAATTCTGTGAGTTTTACAATTTATTTTTGATATAAAAAGACAATAAATGTACTTTAGCATACATTTTTGACGATTGTGTGTATATATTATGTATTATATAAGAAAAAAAACAACACTTGAACGTAAAAGCCATACATGAATCATTTTATAAGTTACAACTTTGAGTAAATACAATTGATATTGTTACCAATATAATAAATATTTTTTAGTAATTAGTTATTATATTATTAGTTTTCGATCCCATCGACGACGACGAGAAACCATTGTGATCAAATACACCGGGTGGTTCTTTAAAAGTCCCTTTACAAGTTGAATTTAGTTGTATCAATTGTTAAAAAAAACATCCCGTTTGAAGAGGAATTGGACTTGCAATAGTTCATAAAAAGTAATTTGTAATTGAATATTAATTACCAACTATTAAATAATTTACATATTGCTCACCACTGGATATATTTCTCGAACTGAAATAAGCTATTACACTGAATACTCGATTAAAAAAAGGTTCATAAATATGTTAACCGCTTTGTTCTCGTGTGTAATCTTGCCAACTTTTTCAATCTCCAATTTTAGTAATTGTTCACAAGTATAAGATTTTTTTTTTTAAACGTATTTTATCGGAACGTTATGTTATCCGATGGTTTTGACGAGTGTCGAATAATAATAGTTAGGTAAAAAAAAAGCAAAAAAATATATATGTTCGTGTGCTAAGTGTTTATTCATATCTAAAATTGTTGACAAAGTCGAACAGTTTTTTTTTCTTTGAAATAGAGCGTATTAATTAAATAACTTTTCCAATAAAACGTTAATAATGATTAAAAAAATATTTATATATATATATATATATATATATATATATATAATTAAAAAAAAAGAAAAAAGAATTGGTTCTAAAGTGACTTATTGCCGTCACTATATCAACTTTTCATTTATACAAGACTAGGTATTTATTAACTTAAAAAATATAATTAAAACAAAACATTACATTTTTATGATATATATATATTTTGTCTGGGTGATTTTTTTTTGGTTTTCTTAAAAGACAACCACTACCTACGACTTAATGTTAAAAGAAAAAATATTCTCTTTCGAAATGTTTAATTTGTATAAAACACGAGTTATTCTTAAAAAATGTTGTATTATTTGTAGTTTACATTTTTTTTTTTATGAAATAAATTACAAATTTGAACATTATTCAGGGATAAAAGTGGGATGAGTATGTTACACAATCGCTGTTTCTGTGTTACTGTATGCGTTATACATAAAATTATATATGGAACGCTTAAAACTATATGGAGACATTAGTCCCCCCCTGTAATTTTTTCCCACTTTAAGCCCCGTGCATGTATATTTAGTTTTTTTTTTATATTATACAGAAGTTACTAAAGATGAAAAGTGAATAATGCTGTAGACATTTAAAACCGACAAATCAATCTATTATTAGGAAACGAAGAAGAGATATAATCGGAAAAGAGATTGTTGACTGTTGAAGGGTGGAGAGAACGAAGGGTTTGAACGTGGAGGCCGAGAAAGCTACTGTTGGAGAGAACGGTGGGTTTAAGAGTGAGGCAATTAAATGGGCAATCGTATAAGGGTAGTCTCGAATGCGATTTATATACAAGGGCGGCAATAGGAGAGAGAGAGAGAGAGGGAGAGTGGCAAACCGAGGCTAAAATAGGGAGAGATTTGGGAACGTAACGCCAGGAAGATTTCATATCTGTGAAGAGATTATATATATATTGGGGAGTTAGGACTAGGGAGAGGGATTTAAGTAGAAACTTACCGGCGAGATCCCGGCAGCAGATTTTTGATAGGGGGGGGGGGAGGAGCATTCTACAAATAAGCTAGAAACGGGGGTGGATTTCAAAGCACCTATGATACTACGTAGGCAGGAGGCGAGAATGGGGTTTAATCTATTTCTATGAGTGTGAGAAGCAGAGACAAACAAAAAGGAACCGTAATCTATTTTCGAACGAATGACGGAGTTATAAATAAGAAGTAAAGAAGTAGGATGACAGCCCCAAGAGGTGCCTGTAACGCAACGGAGGAAGTTAGCCCAACGAGAGGTAAACGAAAGTAGATGGTTAAGCTGAGGTACCCATCTGAGCTTCGGGTCCAACTTAAGCCCAAGACAAATAGGAGACAGGTCTGGAGGGATGCGTTTTCTGGTAAACATCATTGATTTGCTACAAAATGATTTGTAGATGGAACCAGTAAGAGTGGAAAGGCACTCCGTGGTTCCCAAGCCTCTGTGTACTTTTGACACAATCAAGTAAAAGTAAACCAAATGTATTTTTTCTAAATCTGTTTTCATAGACACGTCCCGTCACGCATGTTTATACTGTTATCTATAACGATACCAAAAATTGGCGACAAAAATGTACGATTAATTGGTTTCCAAAATGCGAACAATCGCAATAGTCAAAATACACAAAACTACATGTCGTGTCTTGTAAACACACAAATAACAATTGGTTAAAACGGAACAGAATATCTTTTCCGGGTTACTTCGGTCCATTACGGCCGTTTACTCCGTTTTGCGGAAACTTCATTGGGGCCTTCATAGTCAATGCAGCAGACCGTGTGTCTTGGTCAGACTGGCGACATTGATTAAGACATTTGTGCGGCGGGATATTCCTTATTGGACCAAAAATCCGCAGCACACTCGGGTACAACTCTATACAGAAACCCTATTAATTTTTTCGCTTTTAAGCGTTAAAATACCCCAAATTTGTAATTTTTTTTTTGAGAAAAAAATCTTGGGTGCAGAAAATACAAAAATTAAATAATATATTATTTGAATTTCCTTAGGTCCTGAAAATACCGACTGCGCCAAATGTTGAAACCGTGATGGACAAAAAATTGTTGTGAAAATAAAATATACGCCGGGTTTAAGTATCACACGGTTGCTCTTTATTATTTACACAAAAGATTAAAAACAAGGTACATCCATAAAAATGTCCGTGTATCCATCTACAATGGAAGTGTCCGGTTGAGCGGCGAGCGCGGCATGTCGGACGAGAAGAGGGGAAAGCGGGCTCGGGTGTGATTAGTACTCGGCCGCCGCCGGGTAGCGATGCGACCGCGTCAACGTCATAGCAAGTGGCATGCACAAAGTGCACGGACAGGTGTTCCTTGGCCTTTAGCGGTCTCAAGAAGAAGTGACCTGTCAGAAGCTTGCGTCAGTTGCGGCCGAGGAAGTCTTCTCTCTCGGCTCGTAGGCGATTCCAGAGGGCCAGCAAGAGCAGATCCATCGCCGATGCTTGGCTTCATCTCGAGCCTGAAGCTGTCTGACGCCAAACGGTACCGTTGTAAAAGCTAAAAAAAAATTCCGCAATAGATTATCAAACACAATTGGTTAACGTCATAGCAAGTGGCATGCACAAAGTGCACGGACAGGTGTTCCTTGGCCTTTAGCGGTCTCAAGAAGAAGTGACCTGTCAGAAGCTTGCGTCAGTTGCGGCCGAGGAAGTCTTCTCTCTCGGCTCGTCGGCGATTCCAGAGGGCCAGCAAGAGCAGATCCATCGCCGATGCTTGGCTTCATCTCGAGCCTGAAGCTGTCTGACGCCAAACGGTACCGCTGTAAAAGCTAATAAACTCCGCAATAGATGATTAAACACAATTGGTTAACGGCATAGCGAATGCCATGCACTAAGTGCATGGGACAGGTGTTCCTTGGCTTCAGTGGTTCACCCCGGAGGGATCCCCTACGACTGCGGCCCGCTTAGTAGCGCCGGGGGACGGATTCTCGAATGTTTGTCGCTTTCGACGAAGATTTTGTCACCATATTGAACCAATGGCGACAAAATCTTGTCTAATCCGATAAACATCCGAGAATCGGCGCCTTGGTGCTAATTGCGGGCCGCAGAAGGTGTGTCTCAAGAAGAAGTGACCTGTCAGAAGGCCACATTACGTCGGGCTCGACGTCGCTTTAGTCGCCTTTTACGACAGGCGCGAGAACCTTGGAAGTATTCTTTCTCCCCTGTCCACAGGGATAAAATGAGGGCGTGATGGAATGAGGGCGCGAGTGAGTGAGGGCGTTCAGCGGAGGTTGGACCGATTGTAGAATTGTAGCCGGTTGGAGAACAGGGACTATAGTAATCAAAAGTTACCTGGCACGATCGACAGTACATCGTCGTACACGTTGCCGCCGAACGGCGTCGGAGTTAGTTTTAAAATTGTTTTCTTTTCGTCCACCATTTTGTTCAACTCCCGCAATTCGTCCGGTGTCATGCGGCGAAGAATACGCTTAAATACTTTCCTCGTCGTGTCTGTGGCGTCGTTTTCCGGGAATGCTAATATCTCAGACAGTGGGTCGACAAACTCGGAGTGTTGACCAGGTTCGCGGACCTGCTTGGCTACTAGCAGACAGGTCCCGAACCTCTCCCACTGTTCCTTCAACATTTTCGTCTTGGTCATTTCTTTCCACGCCCGTTCCTTCTGTCGCTCCTCTTCCTGTCGCTCCTCTTCCTGCCACTCCTCTTCCTCGTCTCCTTTTGCATAATACATGTACGAGTAGTACGCCAGTACAACTAAGCCCAGAGGGGCAGCAAACCATAGAGGTTTAAACATTCTGTAACAATAATTAACAATAATTGTTGTAACAAGTAACAATAACTGTTGTCCAGCGTTGACTAGCAACCAAAGTGGTTTGTAAAATAGTATAGACCCTATACGACCCTAATAGTATAGACTGGCTCTATACTATAGAGCCAGTGTATAGATTTAATAAGTCGACGCTCAGCTGAGAAATACATATACATCAAAAGGCAAGCCATATGTTACCAACAGGTCTCCGTAAAAATTAAAAAAAAAAAAAGTACTAATCCGTTAAAATTGAATCCATTCCAAATGGAAAATAATAATTATAATTAGCAATAAACACATATCATTCCTTTGTCTTTTTAGCTATGATATATTGTATATTTTAATTTGAACTTGTTTTTAAAAAAAACTGGTTCATGTCGCGGGACACGCGGTTGGAACCGAAAGTCCCTTTCGTATGCAGGTTTTGTAGAGAATTTGTCCTGAAAACTATATATGGTGCGGCGAACTTTTAAGTCTAATTTTTTTATGTTAAATATTATGTTAAGTTTTGTTTATAGTTTATAAGTTGCTGTGTGT